TTATGGAGGTCACTCATCTATGGTCAAATTCTGCCTACTAAAGTTGCCATTTTTCCTTCCTTTAAAAAAATGTCAATGGAGAAGCCGGGATTTCAACTTCATAGTACCTCTTCTATAATATCGGGAATAGTCTTTATTTAGATTTAATTTAGTTGGTTAAAACCATATTCCAATGTATTTAGGACTAATTATGCTAAAAGAAGTGCAAGAGACAAAGGAAGTGACTATTTCTTATTTGGAAGTTATGACATGAGAGAGCTGAGACATGATAATTTGGGATCTTCTATATGACTATGACTCAGTACCAACAGATATCTCTTCACATATTGCTGGATACAATGTCAATATGTCTATTTGAACTTTACTTATCCTTCTTGCCCCTTGGCATATATGGATGTCAACTAATTAACTACTACACTTTTTTTATTCAATTGACAATACCTTTACATATACTTGTATAGTCAAGACATCTAAATTTAATTTTTTTATTTTTGATAGCGACCTAGCTGATACATAAAAGATATTCTTTGATTGCATTTTCTTGTAGTAATACATAAAAGATGAAGTTCCTAATAACAACATTTCTCGATATAAACTATGCACCGAACATGTTACAAAAAGTCAACTAAACTATATGCACAAGTAATAAAACTATCTAATAAATAGTCGAAATGTACAGTCTGAAAACGTAACATGTTATACGTCAGATTGTTATCAATAACAACTCCTCGTTTAATATGAAGTAACACGAGAAAAACGTAGCACAATGGTAGTTACAATATCTTATATTTGTATACCACAAAGCACTTTCAAGAAAGGGAGAGCATATTAGATAATAAAAAAGTAACAACTCAATTAAGCTTCTACACTAACTCATTCATCCTAAAAGTTTTACTTAATCTGGTGGTAGTGGTAACAATCAATGGGTACTTTACATAAAGTACAGAAACAGAAAGAAAAAAAAAATTCATTGAAAAGCCATCATGATCATGTGGGGGTTAAGAAAATTGTATGGACTATGGAGCTGGCTTCAAATAATTTACAGAAATTAAAAATGGAATTAAGCTTCCACCAACCCTATTACTATTATTATTGTTGTTATTATTATTTTGGGGATGTCTGACATTAGTTTCCGTTCTGCGAGTCATAAAAGGCTGACATGCTGCTGATACGCAGCCATTACTTGTTCACTCGTTTTCTTAGGTGAGGAATTTAATTGGGATTTTATGCTCGCATTTTTATGAACTTATTTATATCTGATTTTGCTTTTATTTTCGTTTTACATTTTTTTTTGGGATAATTTGATCGAATGGCAACCAAGTTCAGATCCAAAGGTTTATCATATTAATAGATGAAATTCGATGTGATAATATGCAAGTACCACATGTAAGAGCATTTTTTGTCTCTTCAAAATTGTTGCATTCAATCCAAAATTTTATTATTTTGGTTATTTTTCTTAATAATATTACACTCATAAGACTCGATTGCTACCTAAACAAAAATAACATGTCTAAAATTTTCAAAATTGACATGATGGGAACCGAAGTGAAAAATAGATCAAACTACATGAATAAAAAAAAATGTAACTTAGCCCATTGTTTAATCCTTTTTTTAAATTATAGAATTTATGGAATTGCATTCATAATTCAGCTAAAAAAGTCACTAACCACAAAGTGTCATTACAATAATAGAGTGATCTAATATAAAAATTAAGACGATATGGGGCTCCTTCACGAACGATCGTTTAGAATTGAAGAACATATGCACCAAAACTAAGAGTGCAAACTCAGAATAACCAAAAATAGATAAAGCTTGAAAAAAAACTAAGCCAAAATACTAAAAATAAAAGTCGCACAAAGGAGAGATGAAATCTACACAGAAAACACAAAAAGTCTTTACGATTTATTCTAAACATGAATAAACTGCATAAAAGATGGTGGTAGAGATCCGATACTGAAATGCAGGTAAAGATCCGATGTCAAGACGCATTTGCCTATGATGAGTGGAGGAAAATCATTATAAAACGAAGACAAATAAGGGAAACCTTCTGCCCTTGAAAACATAGGAAAAGAGGAGAAGAGAGGAGTGGAAGATAGGAGGAGAGAGGGGAGGAAGTTCTTCTCCCCTCAAAGTGAAAATGGTTGTAGAATATATTTTGGGAAAGAGGGAACTATAATTTTCCGGTTATGTACTGTTTCTTAGATTTCATAGGATGTAATTATAAAAAAAAACTTTGTTAGAATTAATTTATTACTGAATAAAACTTGAGTCATAGATCAAATGTACAACAGTCGGTTAAACTTGATCACGATTATTTTATTTTATGGGCAGTTTAGGACTTGTCAGAATTTATGGGAAATTTAATAGTTGAAATAAAAAATGAAAACTTATATCATAAGTTGATTGTCGTAAATATAAAAGTTAATTAATTGGACATGAAGGAACTTTCGACAGACATCAAACGATGTCATTCCGCTAACTTTTTCTTCTTCTCCATTGTTGCAATGCAAGTTAATTAATTGACCTGTCACTTTTAAAATGTTTAATTTTGTTAATTTAAATTATATTTTAGACATTTAATTTGTATTTTTTAATAATATTTTCAAGATTAAAGTAATTTTTATAGTATATATGAGTAATATTATTGATAAAATAAATATTTTAAAGAGTAAATAAGTTTAAATATGTTAAATAGATTAAATAGATTAAACATGTTAATAGACATGCACACATGGGTCCTGTAAACACGCCATTTTCGGCATGACACGAAGCAATACCACCCAAATTTGAGAGACCAAATTTTTTCTGCTAACAATGGAATTTTGAATTAAATGCGCAAACAAATATTATATATAATACTAATACTCGTTGATAAAAAAACTATCGATGTTATCATCAATATTTGATCATGATTGTAAATAAGTACAAATAAGATATATTAAGAATTATAAAGTTTAGTAAGGGGCTTGTAGTTCAGTTTGTTAAGAGCATTTACATATGTATCCAAGGTCATAGGTTTGATTTATCCTCCCCCAATATCGCTTTGTGTATATATAAAAAAAAGAATTATAAATTCCAGACTGACTGACTCACAACATAAGATGGATATATATGTTGCCAAATTCAAAAATTAACAATGAATCAAATTGATTATTATATAAATGTTAGGTCTAAATTCATAATATGACAACACATGCATAACAAAACAACTTTAACAGTATAAGTTTGGGAAAAAAATATTACCATTTGTATATATGGTTGTGTGTGTCATATTTCGGTTTGGTTCAGTTCGGCTCATCAATTTGTTGGTGTTACTGTGTAAGTGCCTGCTCTCAAACTTTCCCTAGTTTGGGCCAAAGTTTTTCCCCTTAAATTTTTCTAACTGAAATGAAAGAAACATGACCTAAAACTTGATTGAGAAAAAAAAAGAGATATTTAGACATATATTCATTTTTAGCACTAATAATATAGATAAATTCTACATCATTTAATTTTTATAATCAAACTCAAAAAATAATAGTTGACCCTATTGAATTTAATTTTAATTATTAAATTATTTTGATGCCCTATTGAGTGTTTTGAGTTTTTTTAATGAGATTTTGGGGTTGTGTTTGTTTTAGAAAATCAATGGCAATTTTGTAATTTAAAAAAAGTTAAAAGTCTTTTTGTTATGTTGTAAATGAATTTTGAGTGTGTTTTTAAAGTCTATTTTATATAAATTTTTTTATAATTTGAATTTTTATATCGGGTATAATAGTAAATCCTCCAAAAAATAATTCAAGGAAGGCGGACAGACAGCAACGCAATAGATGGCCATCACTTGCTAGCCTTATCTAACCAGCTGGGGCTCAATTTCTCGCGATATTTTACCAGTCTTTCGGTCACACGTTGCACGAGTCACACGTGACACTCATCAGCGTACTGTGAACTGTGTTTTGTTGTGTTGTCTTTTTGGTGAAGAGGAGACTCATCAACTTCTTCTTCACTCTCTCTCTCTCTCTCTCCCCTCTGAAGAACAATTTAAAAACTCCAAAACTTTCTCTCTCATTTGACAACAGACCCCACACAGAAACCGTGACAGAGAGAGAAGAGAAAGAGAAAGAGAAGGAGAAAGAGAAGGAGAAAGACATCAATTTCGAGCCACCGACACTTACACACTTACGTACAAAAACAACCCAACAATTCTCTCTGTTTCTCTGTAGTGAAAATACGGAAGTACCCCTCTCCCACCTCCAAGGTCCAGCGCCACCGACACTCCGGTGGGGCACCACCTTCGCCCCACCACCACCACCACGACTGCTGCCTTTGGCTTCCATAATCAAAATCTGGGGCCCACCCAAAAACCCATATTTTGAGAATTAGCTTTGGGGTTTAATTTACATAACAGTGATATTTTAGATCCAAATTATATATTGATCTCCTCTGTCTCTGTCCCTATCTCGTCCCATCTGTGTTTATGTGTTGAAATTTCAACTCCCACTTTTAGATTCTCTCTCTAAAAACAAAAGTTTTTTTCTTTTTATTGCTCTATATAATTTGGCAGCAACCCGTGTTACAGATCGAAAGCACCAAGTTTTCTTTGCAGACAGCCAATTTGTTAGAGGACTAGGTCTCTCCCTCAAGAAAAGAATCATTCATTACACACAAACAAAACATTTTTAATTTTTTTCTTATTTTAATTTCACCCTTTTTATATTCACTCATTCTCTATTTATCTCTCTCTCTCTCTCTCTCTCTCTCTCTGTCTGTGTAAAGCTGTGTTTTTTATTCATTGTGTAATGTGGGGTTGGTGTTTCTTGTAATGGGTGCCTTTGAGAGTGTGTACTAAATTAAGCAACCTAGAAAGAGAGAGAGACACACACAAGAAGAAGGAGAAGAGGAAGAGAGAGGTCAAGTGGTGTTCTTTGGTGGTTTTTGAGTGATGAGAAAGACAGAGAAAGTGGTTTTGTGAAGTGGGTCTCTTTTGAGTTTCAAGGCTCAGTCTGTGTGTTCTGAGTGCTATGGATACCAAAGGAAGACTTGTTGCAGGTTCTCACAACAGGAATGAGTTTGTTCTCATCAATGCTGATGAGGTTTCAAGAGTAAGTCTTTTACTTTGTCTCTTCTCCCTTCCCCTTGTGCCTTTTGCATTTCCTCTCAACTCCATTTCTGATACTGGACATGTTGAGAGCCTTCAAAATCTGTTGCTTTTGTTCACTCTTTGTCCCAGAAATCATTTCTGGATCCTTTGTCTACATTTGGAAGATACCCATTTGCTCATATTGACTCTTTCTCTCTCTCTCTTAAATTTGTTAGATCTTGAAATAAAGACAGTACATTTTTCCTTCTCTTTCTACAACTCTGTTTATGCTGTTTCCTACCTCTTCATGAGCAAAATTTGTCTTCTATGTTTTCCTTTACCTCCTCTCTGATTTCAACTGAGATTTAAAGCTTCAGTTACTGAATTTTGGTTCAGGGTTTTTAGTATATTGGATTTGACTTTTCTCAGCCACTATCTCTTTCTGGGTTCTGTGCATTGGTTGTGGTACTCTCTGGTTTCCCTTGAAACGGCTTCCGTAAAATTACTTTCTTTTTTGTGTCTTGTTCTTTCTTGGTTTTCAGAGCTGGTCAATTAACCGGTGCATAAGGCCTTCAACTTTGCTTCTGCAAAATTTATTTCATAGTTTTCTAGTAAATTAACTAGTTTCCTTTCCAAGCAATTCAGATGGGTGTTATAGGATTTCTTTCTCTTCTTCTGATGCTTTTGGTATTATTTTAGTCTTCGATCTGACGGAGATTGATATTGCTATGGTACCAATGAATTGCAGGTAACATCTGTCAAAGAACTGAGTGGGCAGATTTGCCAGATCTGTGGGGATGAGATAGAGATAACAGTGGATGGGGAGCCATTTGTTGCTTGCAATGAATGTGCATTTCCTGTTTGCAGATCTTGCTATGAGTATGAAAGAAGAGAGGGCAATCAAGCCTGCCCTCAGTGCAAAACCAGATACAAGCGCCTCAAAGGTGAGTCTCTTCCCCATATCAATCATGGTTTTGGTGATTTTTTATTTTTGTTATAAAAATAATACTGAAATTGCAACTTTCTGTTAGGGAGTCCAAGAGTTGAAGGTGATGAAGAAGAGGATGATATTGATGATTTGGAGAATGAGTTTGATATTTCAAGCAATGATAGGAGAGATCCTCACCACATTGCCGAGGCAGTTCTGGCTGCTCGCCTTAATATCGGACGGGGATCCCACGTCCATGGTTCAGGGATTAGCACACCAGCAGAATTTGACTCTGCCTCCATTGCTTCCGAGATCCCTCTGCTGACCTATGGCCAAGAGGTGAGTTAGTTTAACTGTTTGATGTTCTTTCCTTGACAGTGATGGTTATAATTGATCTGTGTCTGATAAATTGATAATTATTGTTTTTGGTGAAGGATGTTGGGATTGCCTCTGATAAGCACGCTCTTATTATTCCCCCATTTATGAGTCGAGGAAAACGGGTTCATCCAATGCCGACCACTGATTCTTCTATGTCCTGTAAGTTCATTAAATTTGCCTCAATATTTGCCTCAATTTTTGTAGCTGTTCGGACTGCTTAATCTTTCTTAGAGTCTGATTGTGGTGTTGATGATGCAGTTCCACCCAGGCCAATGGATCCTAAGAAAGACTTAGCTGTATATGGTTATGGAACTGTTGCATGGAAGGAGCGAATGGAGGACTGGAAGAAGAAGCAAAATGAAAAACTTCAGGTGGTGAAGCACCAAGGAGGAAATGATGGTGGAAACAATAATGGAAATGAGCCGGATGATCCCGATTTACCCAAGTAGGTGCTCCTTTAGAATATTTTTATATTCCTGGAACGATTATGTTATTTTATTCTAAATTGAAATGCGAAATTATTATATGAATTATTCTTTGAAAAAAAAGAGATGATAGTTTATATTTATTGTGTGAAATTGTATTCTTTAGGTGTTAGAGATTGGTTATGTATATTTTTAGTTACTCAAACTTTGCAGTTCTTGTTAAAAGAGAAGGTAAACGTTCGTTTAATTTAATGACAGTTTATATGAATGAAAAAGAAAAATATTTATCCATAACATTTAAACTTTTACTTTCTCAATGTATTAGTCTGAAAACACATATGGGGTACTGGCTACAGATACTTCGTGCAAGCTAAAGGACAATCCAAATGGTGCAATATTATTGTCCATTTTGGCACAAGTTTAAAATTTAGCTGTGTCACTACTTAGAATGATGTAATTTTGTTTCAACCAAAGAGAGTTGATTTTTGTAATTCTTTTTACAGGATGGATGAAGGCAGGCAGCCGCTTTCGAGGAAGTTACCCATTCCTTCGAGCAAGATAAATCCATATAGAATGATAATCTTACTCCGTCTTGCAATTCTTGGCCTCTTTTTCCACTATAGAATTCTCCATCCAGTCAACAACGCATATGGATTGTGGTTAACATCTATAATATGTGAAATTTGGTTTGGCTTGTCGTGGATATTGGATCAGTTTCCTAAGTGGTATCCGATTGAGAGAGAAACATACCTTGATAGATTATCACTCAGGTAGCCACCTTCTCTCTCTCTCTCTCTGTATGCGGCTTTTTGAAATATCTGTTCTAAGCTAGTTTGATTTTTTTTTGGGTTCAGGTATGAGAAAGAAGGGAAGCCATCTGAGTTGGCCGATCTAGACGTATTTGTTAGTACTGTTGATCCTCTTAAGGAACCTCCACTTATCACAGCAAACACAGTTCTGTCCATCCTCTCTGTAGATTATCCAGTTGACAAAGTTGCATGCTATGTCTCTGATGATGGTGCTGCAATGCTCACTTTTGAAGCCCTCTCAGAGACATCTGAGTTTGCAAGAAAGTGGGTTCCATTCTGCAAGAAGTACAGTATTGAACCCCGGGCCCCAGAGTGGTACTTTGCACAAAAAGTTGACTATTTGAGAGACAAAGTAGATCCGACATTTGTCAGGGAACGTCGAGCCATTAAGGTTTACCACTTCTTTCTTCATTTGTTTGTGTTACAGTCTGACAAGTTTCTGGTCTGGCGTTTAGCTTCTTTGATAACCATCTTTCAGTTAAAAAAAGAAAAAAGAAAAGATGATTTTCATTATATAAAAAAATGCTTAAATTATAGTGACAACCTTGCAATGATGCACACACTTTTGGTTGGTGCTGGATGATGACATTTCTGATCTGGTGTTGTCATTTTGTTGGTATAGAGAGAGTATGAAGAGTTCAAAGTTAGGATAAATGGGTTGGTCGCCACAGCACAGAAAGTTCCCGAGGAGGGTTGGACGATGCAGGACGGGACTCCATGGCCTGGGAACAATGTCAGGGATCATCCTGGAATGATTCAGGTGAGGCGGTGTTCATTTAATCAATTCATGATGAAGAGCCAATACTTATTGAGTATTTCTAATCTTTATCTTTTTTTGGCAGGTTTTCCTTGGGCAAAATGGTGTTCGTGATGTGGAAGGAAATGAATTACCACGTCTGGTTTATGTGTCCCGTGAAAAGAGACCAGGTTTTGATCATCACAAAAAAGCTGGGGCTATGAATTCTTTGGTATAGCTCTCTTGTTGTCTCTGTCTCTCCCTCTCCCTCTCTTTCCCTCTCTCCTCTCTGAACTTGTTTAGGTTTTCAGTTGTCTAATTTTTATTTACATGCTGGCTAATAAATCAAGGTACGGGTGTCAGCAATCATCTCAAATGCTCCTTACATACTGAATGTTGATTGTGATCACTATATAAACAACAGCAGAGCACTTCGTGAAGCAATGTGCTTCATGATGGACCCCACGTCAGGAAAGAAAATCTGTTACGTACAATTTCCTCAACGATTTGATGGGATTGATCGTCATGATAGATACTCAAATCGCAATGTTGTATTCTTTGATGTAAGCACCTTGTTTGTTTGTTTATTTTATTCGAAGAGTAGGTGAGAAGTTGCAAAAGTATGATTTTTTGTGAGAGAAGCTAATTCCTTTCATAATTTGAATACAGATCAATATGAAAGGTTTAGATGGTATCCAAGGACCCATATATGTTGGAACTGGTTGTGTCTTCCGAAGGCAGGCACTGTATGGATATGATGCTCCTACCAAGAAGAAACCACCAGGGAAGACTTGTAATTGTTTGCCAAAATGGTGCTGCTGGTGTTGTGGATCTAGAAAGAAGAACAAAAAAGCAAAGTCAAATGATAAAAAGAAAAAGAACAAGGATGCTTCAAAGCAGATACATGCACTAGAAAATATTCAGGAGGGAATTGAAGGTAAGAGGTGCTTTACAAATGGATAGTACAGTTGTTTTCCTCCTTATAGATCAATCTTGAATTTCCGTGCTCAGGCTACTTGTGAATGCGGAGTATTAATTTGATTTCTGTAAGTGATTGGTTGTGTTAAACACAGATGTTTATGATTTTACTGAAACTTTTTTACAGGAATAGACAATGAAAAGTCATCCCTAATACCCCAAATAAAATTTGAGAAAAAATTTGGACAGTCGCCGGTTTTCATTGCTTCTACACTCATGGAAGACGGTGGAGTTCCGAAGGGAACAAGTTCGGCATCACTCTTGAAAGAAGCCATCCATGTCATTAGTTGTGGCTATGAAGATAAAACAGAATGGGGGAAGGAGGTATGCTGCACCATTTATGGAGTTTGACTAATGAATGACTCAAGCTCTTATGATTTGAAGCTTGGCATTTTTCTGTTTTCTAAATCTTAATTTTGTTCCAGGTTGGGTGGATATATGGCTCTGTTACAGAGGATATCCTAACGGGCTTCAAGATGCATTGCCATGGCTGGCGATCCGTGTATTGCATGCCCAAAAGGCCTGCATTCAAGGGTTCAGCCCCTATAAACTTATCTGATCGGCTTCACCAGGTGCTTCGGTGGGCGTTGGGATCTGTTGAAATATTATTGAGCAGGCACTGTCCAATTTGGTATGGATATGGGTGTGGTTTGAAATGGTTGGAGCGCTTTTCTTATATAAACTCGGTTGTCTATCCTTTGACATCTATCCCCTTGCTTGCCTACTGTTCCTTGCCGGCTGTCTGTCTCCTTACTGGGAAATTCATTGTCCCTGAGGTAATTTTCCCCTTTATTTTGTTCTGGACTATATATATATGTGTGTGTGTTAGAACTTTATTTTCCCTGGCCTTTTTAGGAAATATATATTTTTTGAAAGGCCTAACTTGAGAATGCTGTGCTTGCTGTATTTATTTCTGTTGCAATGCTTTCAGCTAATATTGGCTTTCTCCGATTAACAGATTAGCAACTATGCCAGTATCCTTTTCATGGCTCTCTTTTTATCCATCGCTGCAACTAGCATACTTGAGATGCAGTGGGGACATGTTGGCATACATGACTGGTGGAGGAATGAACAGTTCTGGGTCATTGGTGGTGCGTCATCACACTTTTTCGCACTCATCCAGGGTCTGCTCAAGGTTTTGGGCGGAGTTAACACAAACTTCACTGTCACATCTAAAGCAGCGGATGATGGAGAGTTTTCTGATCTATACCTCTTTAAGTGGACGTCACTTTTGATCCCTCCCATGACCTTATTGATCATAAACATTATTGGAGTCGTCGTTGGGATTTCTGATGCCATCAACAATGGTTACGACTCATGGGGTCCTCTCTTTGGTAGGTTGTTCTTTGCCATATGGGTCATTGTCCATCTTTACCCATTCCTAAAGGGTTTGGTGGGAAGACAGGAGAGACTCCCCACAATCATTGTGGTCTGGTCAATTCTTCTCGCATCGATCTTCTCTCTATTATGGGTCCGAATCAACCCATTTGTATCAAAAGGTGGTATCGTATTAGAAGTTTGCGGGCTGGATTGTGACTAAGGTCCACTTATACAGAAGGTTTAGATGGTGTGAGTTCTATAAAGTAGCAGTTTGGGCAAACAAAAAGAGATCGAGTTCGAATGCGCGATGTTGTTCAATCGAAGGCAAAATTGTTTCGAACAGTTCTATTTATAAGGATAAATCTTGTGGTAAAAGATGAGATGGGAAGAAAGAGCAATCCTGGGAGGTTGCATGTAGATACAAAGGGACTGGATCTGACACATTGATTGTTTTGCAAAGTGTTCATTAATTCTTTAATACATGGATTTTGTGGGTTGGAAGGGGATTTGTATTCAGGTCTGTCTGTAATCCCATGAGAAGATAAAGTTAGTTTGATTCATAATTTATGTTCCCTTCTCAATAAGGGGGTTGGTTCATATATATTAGTGTCATAAAACCTTGTCCTTTTGTGCAGTATTTGAGAGGAAATAGCTGCAATCTTAGGGTGATGGTATTTTTTGGGATGTCCAAATGTGTTTGCCAAACAAAGGCAACTCTTCTTGTATGTGTGCTTATTTAAGAACAACTCAACATTCAATAAATGTTTGATTTTCTTTCTTCTCTTTCTTTCTTCTGGCTTGTTTGGAGTTCTCACCTCTGATACTTCTGCCTATAAGTTTGACTTCAGCTTTTGCAATCACATTGATGGTGTGATGACATTGTAACGTGGCAAATTATTTTGACTAACTCAGAGTTTTTGAATGTCTGCTTTTTTCTCCTAGGAATCCTGTGGAATTAATTTCCTGGCTTATTAAGTAAAGCCTTAAAGTAAATCCACCTCTGAAACAACAAATTAGGGAGGAAATAGGCCTCATTCACCTCCAAGGATCCGGATCCTCTGTTCTGATATGCGAACCTCATTTTTAAAATTAACACATTTACATATTTACATATAAACCTTAAAATTGCATATACGCACATTAACAAACTTTACATATTTGCATTTGCAAACTTTTGTCGCTAGACATTCTCATATTTAAAATAAGCAGTCCAATACAACACCATACTTACACTGGACCCCACAAAACTAACCGTACCATTAACAAGTTCATTTACAAGCAATACTGTAAATTACCAAAAGAAACTTGAAGATCTGCATGAGGTATGCTTCAGCTGAAAATGAAGGGTCACTTTAACTCGTATTTCCATGGCCAACACAAATAGGTCTACTTCTTTTGGAGATCCTTCAATGCCGGCCTAGGTTGCAAAGTTTTCACTGCTGGGTTGGAAACTTTGTCGCTCTTTGTGTTTCTGAAATTTTCCTTCATATCAACAGTATTGACAAAACTCTTTGGAGGACTAGGGACCAGACTATCTGTCTTGTTCTCCCTTGGCGCAAAAGAAATACTGATACTTTTGTCCGAATCTGCCTCCCAACTCCTTACCCAAGGTGATTCCAAATTGTCTGAGAAGAAATGAGCAAGAAGGTCAAAGAATCGGCTTGCATTTTCGAGTAAATCGTGCTCGTAAAAATACTTGGAGAACCAATAAAGAGAAAAAAATTGACGTTCAAGTGCAAGATATGTGTACCTTTTCTCAAAATTGAATCTGCAGATATGGGACATTGATCTGCAGTTACATTCTGTTCTGACACAATCTCACTCTCAACTGAAAATTTAGTATCATCAATATCAGGGTTCACATTACTTCGAGCTTGCATTAAGTAATTCGGATCACTGTTTGCTGCTGGCACATCAATTGGCGCATCAAAAGCACCAGGATTGCTGCCACTCATCTCAGAATCATCTACCGATTTCCCTGTACGTGCCCAGACATTAGAATATTCAATATCACCAGCCTCATCAATATCCTCATGATCAACAAACACTTGGTTGATAGGCCTGATTCCTTTCTCCTTTGGTCCTTCATTTACACAGGTGTTCCCATCTGAAACAGGAGGATGAGTGGATTTCAGAAGTTCATCTGCCATTCTCTGCCCATGATCACTGTGTTGCTTGGCAACAACTTGAGCAATTCCCAGGTCATTTTCTATACCTTCCTTCACATGCTCACCAACTTCATTCATCAGACTGGCTTTACTCAGACCTGCATCTAATTTCTGAAATTCATCTCTTTCGATGTCCCCTACAATCAGTTCCATCTCAAAATCAGTCAATCCAAACAATTCAACATTTGACTCCAAGGCTTTGTTATTCCCCAAAACACATTATAACATTTGTCTTTACAGATCCTAATACTCTACACTTTTGGAGGCATGGATAAATAAAAAGTATAACATGGTATCATGAGATCAAAGTTCGAAATCCTAAAACTATAACTTCCCAATCTATAGACTTCCACATGTTGGACTATTCAAGAAAAAATATAATAGCAAACTCTTGGAGTCGTAGACTCATAGTTAATTAAAAGTACTAGCAGTGAAGTACAAAATTAAACACTCACCACAACTAGAAAAGTTGGTAACAGGAGAACCAACAGGGTAATGAATACCCATTTCCAGAGTAGATTTTAGCTCCATAACTTCCTCAGATTTATGCTCATGGTCAGTAAGTTGCCCTGCAGCAACTTGTGCAATACCAACAGCACTTTCTTTCCCTTTCTTCACATCCTCACTATCTTCAATCACTGAATCGACTTTCGACATGTCTGGATATGATTTTGAAAATCCATCTATTTTGTCGTCGCTGAAAAGTTTTTTTATCCCATAACTGCTAAATAAAGGCGAGGCAGCATTTAACTCCAAGGCTTTAGTTTCTGTTTAATCACAAAGATACAAAAACCGTTAGAGAAGGAACTGTTTTCAATAAAAAGTTTAAGTTGAATGAAGATTAATTTTTTTATTTTTGTTAAAAAATAACTACAAGATATATAGATACTCCTTGGGCTCAAACATGGATACTATTCTTCCCCCCACTCCCCACCCCAGGCCACGTGGCTTAGGAAATGAAGACAAATATACATAAGAGTTGAAAATTTTGGACACAATTATTAACCTGCAGTTGCTTCTTCACCTTGATGCAATAAGCATTGACCATGACTAGAATCGGTAGCTGGAGAATCAGCAGAGCAATCGACACCCGTTTCAGGTTTAACCATAGAGATGGGATGCAAGTTTTCAAAACCGGGGGATTCCTTTGAGTCACCAGAAATGACATCCCTATCATTAAGATTAAGAAGATCAATTACTTCCTCAGTCTCTTGGGAGGTCCTCGTACGATTAATGCCAACATTGAGACTTTCAACAACCTTCACGCCTGAGACTCTTTCTGGCACTCCAAATTCATTGCCTTGTAATTCAAGATCACCACACTTTGCTGGATCTGGTTGGAGAACAGATTGTATAACTTCATTTGATGCTTTCTCTTGAACTTCACTGTCTACCGGCAACACCATATTTGAAGGACCTGGAGATTTGTTCTCATTTCCAAGCTGCATTTTTGCCAAAGCAAAATCAGAAAGAGACCCCGACTGTGTTTCGTCCACCAGGGCATCCATAGAACTTCCAATATCATTTGCTGCCACCGTGTGCTTTTCCAGAATATCAACCTCATCAAAGGATAAATTCTGGTTTTGGCTTCCATGTAACAAGGCCTCATCTCTTTCACGAATTATGCCGCCTTCAACTGGTGATTTGAATTGATCTTTAAGTTGATCTCCTTCTGCAGATTAAATAATTGTTATTGTCTCATAACTTACTGGATGGAACACATATTTTTTTCTCGAAGTGCCAGAGAATATAACAAGGTACTGTCATTGCCTATCAAGTGATAAGAATAAACAAGAAGCATATGAACATACAAATTTCTCAACAAGATAACAAGTTTCCAACCTAAAAGAGAAACTGTACCCCTATCCTCATAAGTCATCTCCTTTTCTTCCGCATTGTTTCTACCCTCAATTTCATTTAATCCACTTAGATCTCCTGCATTTGAGACAATATAAAAACATAAGTATATACAGTTACTCAAATCAAAATCTCATTATAACCAGTAAAATCATATATTCAAGATTAATCATCGAAAGATACCAAGAGATGAAGAATCATTAAACATGAGACAGTGGCACCACCTGAATGCATTTGACGTTTGGCACAAAAGTTATCAGCTGATAGATTGACTTGTGTAATACTTTCAGTATCAACAATTCTATCTGTGTCAGCCAAGCCAGGTTCGTTTTGTGACACTCTATTACTCACACCGGCATTGCCCAAAATAATCCCATGATCACAGCAGCACAGATCACCCAACTCATCTCTGACCAAGAAATCATCAGTATTATCTGACTTAATTTCAGTTTTCGAACTCACATTTACAGAATTTATACCACCATCCAGTGTTCCAATATTATCATCCATATCAGCATTGCCATCCGTGTGCATACTATCAACTGAAGCAATGGAAGGATGTCTCTTCATCTGTAAAGATACTTCCTTATGTATGCCAGGATCACCATACTTCACTTGATCCAGTAGGAGGACAGATTGCATAACATTGTTTAGTGCTCTCTCTTGAACTTCACTGTCTACTGACACCACCATAGTTGAAGGATCTGGGGATTTGTTCTCATTTCCACGCCGCATTTTTGCCAAAGAAAAATCAGAAAGGGACCGCGACTCTGTTTCGTTCACCACGGCATCCATAGAACTTTCAGTGTTATTTGCTGCAACTGTGTGCTTTTCCAAAATATTGACCTCTTCGAAGTATAAATTCTGATTTTTGCTTCCATGTAACAAGGCCTGATTTCTTTCATGAATATTTCTGCCTTCAACTGGTGATTTGAATTTATCTTCAGTTGATCTCCTTCTGCAGATTAAACAGTTATTATTATCTCATAACTTACTGGATGGAACACATACGTTTTTTTCTCACAGATGCAAGAGAATACCATATCAAGTGATAAGAATAAACAAGAAGCACATGAACATATAAACTTCTCAATACGACAAGTTTCCAACCTAAAAGAGGAATTGTACCTCTATCCTCATAGGTCATCTCCTTTTCTTTGGCATTGTTTTTTTTACCCTCAATCTCATTTAATCCACTTAGATTTCCTGCGTTTGAGAAAATTTGCTTACTTGAGTATATACAGTTACTTAAATCAGAATGTCAGGTTATAAGCAGTAAAATCATATATTCAAGATCAATAACCAAAATATACCAAGAGATGAAGAATCATTAAAAACATGATACAATGGCAGACCACCTGAATACATTTGAGGTTTGGCACAAGAGTTATCAGCACATAGTTTGACTTGTGTAATACTTTCAGTTCCAACTATTCCATCTGTGTCAGCCAAGCCAGGTATGCTTTGTGCCACGCTATTACTCACACCAGCATTGCCCAAAATAATGCCATGATCACAGCAACTCAGATCAGTCAGCTCATCTCTGACTAAGAAATCACCAATATTGTCCGAACTTATCTCAGTTTTTGAACTCACATTTAGAGAATTCATACCACCATCCAGTGTTCCAACATTATCATCCATATCAGCATTGCCATCCATGTGCATACTGTCATCTGAAGCAATGGAAGGATGTCTCTTCATCTCTGAAGTAACTTCTTTACGAATGTTCTCATTTCTATGTTGCATTTTTGCCAAAGCACAATCAGAAAGAGATATTGACTCTGTTTCAACGACGATGGCACCCACAGAACTTTCAATTTTACTTGCTGCCACTGTGTCGTCTTCCAGATAATCAACCTCATCAAAGGATAAATTTTGGCTTTTGCTTCCATATAACAAGGGCTCATCTATTTCACAAATACTTCCGCCTTCAACTGGTGATTTGAATTGATTTTCAAGTTGATCTCCTTCTGCAGATTAAACAATCATTAATATCTCATAACTTACTGGATGGAATTCACATGTTTTTCTTAAAGACACCAGAGAACAACACAAGTTATTCATTTAGATAAATTAAAATTTTCAATTATCACTTGTTTGCCACTGATTACTAGGAATGAGGAAGAGTATCCATCTCTTCTATTCACTTTACAGATAAACCAATATAAAGGAAAAGTTAAGAGTGTCAAACTTAGTTAACAGCATGGTTCTATACTGCCCAACCGAAAAAGTTAACAAGAGTCAGGACTAGTGTTGGTAATCTAGACCACAAACACAATTTAACTCAACCTCAGTCCGCAAAGTAAGGTCAAGAGCATTTAAAAAATGTCATGTAACATGGTACTATTAGGAGGAGAATTCATGGACCTAACCATTGCAAATAATGCTCAAACGAAATGAATCATGAATAACAAGATCTAACAGCTGAACTATCAAAAAATAAAAATAAAAATTATCATATGAACATGAAAAATTAAACAAGGGAACGTCAAATACCTTGCTTTAGTAGTGAAGATTTGGGCGGAGTTACAGCAGTATCACTGGGTACAATTCTATCCAGATGGATATCTCCAACTGTCTCTTCGCTAGTTTCTTCTACTACTTCAGAGGATTTCGCTGTATTTCTGTCTGACTCGTTATTCTCATCACGTTCAGTTAGATGATCCTCAACAACTGGCTCAACTAGTACTGGTTGATTAATCCCTCTAGCATCCAATTGAACTAAGTTATGATCCTCAGGAACACTAGCTTTGCTACCGTCTTCTAACTGGTCATCCACCACATCACTTCTTTGGTGTGACGTCTTAACAGTCCATGACTCATCTGTCTCCAGTCCTTTCAAGTCCAACAGGTTGGTACATTCACCTACATATTATAAGAGCACAATAAGCAGAGCACCAAAATTAATTAATACATCTATTTGACACCAAAACTTGAATAACTCCCGTACCTTCACAACCTGGTTGACAGGTAGGTGAGTGACCATCACCTAGACAGGTCAATCTGGAAAAACCGACATTGCTGAGCTTATCCAAACATTCTTCCGAGGTTTGTTCAACTGCAATAATATGACCACTATCACCTCTGTCCAAAGACGGATAGTAATTATCTTCCATATCACGTACAGTAGCGTTCTCTGGGACATTCAATCCACTATCTACCATAACATTTTCCATCACGTTAGTCACGGGCTCCATTACATTCTGTGCGTTTTGGACTGTAAATATACCTTGTAAATTATTATACTTTGATAGCTGATCCATTGCAGCAGATTCCCACTTATTGCTTGATTTTTCAACAGCTTCTTTGCTGCAGCAAGAATCAGTAGCTGGAACAAAGAGAAGATACAAATATTAATCACGTGAAAAAATACAAAGTGATAGAGGTTTAATACTCTAAGCAGTGATTGAGCCGGACAAAAAAGGTTTTAAACAAAGGGAATTTGTTGAAGGCCTCACAGTTGAAAACTACAGTGCCTGAGCCAGAGCACTTTCTTGTAAAGTGATTGAACTGTTTCTATCACAGTCAGGGAGATCATGCACATACTTCCCTTTAGTGATAAGAATAAATAATGTGATTGATTACCAATAGCATTAAGTTCTACAAAGTAAATCCATCCAAACGATTTAACTGATGAATAATGAGATTAAACAGCTGAACCTATCAGCAATAAAAACATCACATAAACATGAAAATTAAAGAAGAAACCAAACAAGGGAGCATCAAATACCTTCCTTTACTAGTGAAGATTTGGACAGAGTTACAGCAGTATCACTGAGAACAATTCTACCCAGATGGATGTCTCCATCTGTCTCTGCACTAGTTTCAGCAGTAGAACCTACATCAACCTGAACCGTTTCTTCTCTGTCACAAGAACTGAAAGCACATATTTCTTCTACTAATTCAGAGGACTTTGCATTATTGCTGTCTGACTCCTTATTTTCACCAAGTTCAGTTAGATGATCCTCAAGAACTTGTTCTACAAGTACTGGTTGATCAATCCCACTAGCATCCAATTGAACTAAGTTTTGATCCTCAGGAACACTAACTTTGCTACCACCTTCTAACTGATCATCCACCACATCAATCCTTTGGTTTGAGGTTTTAACAGTTAATGACTCATCTGTTTCCAATCCATTTTTCAAGTCCAACAGGTTGGAACATTCACCTACAAGTTAGGCAAACACAATAAGCACCAAAAACTAATTAATACATCCATTTGACAGCAAAAGTGAATAACTCCCTTACCTTCACAGTCTGGTTGATAGGTAGGTGAGTGGCCATCACTTGGACAGGTAACTTTGGAAGAAACGACATTGCCGAACTTATCTGGACATTCTACTGGGTTTTGTTCAACTGCAATAGCATGGCCAGTATGACCTTTGTTCAAAGACAGATAAGAATGATAATCCATATCACATGCAGTAGTGTTATCCGGGATGCTATTTTCCATCTCGTTAGTCAGGGGTTCTGTCACATTCTGTGGCTTCTGCACTGTAGATATACCTTGAAACTTCATTGATTCTGAGATCTGATTGTCCTTCAGATGACCTGAAATGTCCATGGCCTTCTCCATGATAGAATATGCAGTAGATACTTCATCATAAACAGGCTGACCCCTTCCAGCAGATTCCCTCTTCTTGCTTGATCCCTTCCTCTGCTTGCTTGATCCTTTCCTCTGTTTGCTTGATCCCTTCCTCTGCTTGCTTGACCTTTCCAGACCTTTGCTGCAGAAAGAATCAGTATTGTTCCCATTTCCTGAAGCTTCTGGAATATTCAATCTAATATCTATACTCGGATTTTCTTCAAGGGGTGAATTGATTTTAGCAAACGAGACCTTTTCCTTTATAATTGGCATCCTAGATTCACTCTTTTTGTTCTTTCCAGCAGCTATACCAGTGCGTCCTGTAGGTGCAACCAAGCCACTTTTGGACAAAATACGTGAGGATCGTCTTTGTGGGCTTTTATTTAAAGAATCATGCACAATTAATGAACTTTCCTTCTCATATGTTGGCTCTTGTATTTGCTTCACAAGACCATCCTTTTTAACACCATTGGCAATTCCACACATGTCCCCAGTGGCTTCTGTTAGTATCTTTTCACAAGCATTCCGACTAGAACGCCTTAGAGATTGAGACACATTGGTACCCTTGTCAGGAACTGGTTGCTTCACTGTTCCAGCAGCTGTTGATTGCTTCACAGTTCCAGCAGCTTCACAAATTCTAAACTCCCTATCATCATGAGCAGCAGAGGAAAACAATGTAGTTATGCGTCTGGATCTCCTTAAAGGACCATTGGGTAGGAGAGCAACATTTTCTTCCATTCTTTCTACACTTGACTCAACTTTGGAAGCTCTTTCCAAATCTATATTCCTTGGTCTTTTTCTAGTATCACCTTTCGCCAGTTCCTTGCCCTTCTGGAACACAGGAATTTTCTGCCCGTCCTTTGATGGTTCTTCAAGTTCACATTCTTCTTGGCCCGAAGGTTTTCCCATAAACTTGGTTTTAGACTTTTCGCTCCTACCAACAAGTTTGGTTTCTGCCAATGGCCCACTTGCAGAGTCTCTGTCCCTGGCTAAATTTCGTTTTGACCTCCTCAGGGTCTTCCCAGGTACAACAGCTTCATTAGCAAGGTTGTCACCTTCCAGACTCCTCTTCAGAGGTACAGCAGACTTCCGCCTCAAATGCTTTCTATCTAGGCCCTTACAGGTTTCTTCAAGTTGAAGCACTTCTTGTCCTTTTTCCTGAACTTCGAGAATATCTGTTTTACTTTCAACTCCAGAACTATTCCCTCCAACCTGAGTCCGAGACCGTGTGATCCTACTACCACCAAGATCAGTTTTCCCCAATTTTTCACTCAGAACACTTGAGCCTTCAACCTTTGTGACATTTCCTTTACATTGCTTCTGGACTTTTTCAGGTTTATACCTTTTTCTACAGGGACATTTTCTTCGTAAGTCTCAGTTGGTAAAAGATCCCCATCACTACCTTTATTTTGTTTGGGTTTCTTTGAACCCCTTGGCACTAGATTCTTCCTCAAAACCAGTGAATTTCCACCATCACCACTCACCACCACCCTGCTTCTCAACTGCCTTTGAATCAACCCTCCATTCGAATTAGCATGTTCCGCATTACTATCCACTCTCTCAATTAACTCAACCTCCGGAGGAGGCTTATCACAGCTATCAACCTTTTTCACTCGATTTGTCAATTTCTTCTTCCCAGGAAGAGGTGAAAAAACTGCTTCTGCATTGCCTTCATCCATTTTTTGTGCTCTGGACCTTGTAACTCTACCTGGGGAGTCAATAATTTTGTGAGAGTGTTCGAGTCCTCTGGAAATTTCAAAAACCTGAACCTTCTTAACAACCATGGACTTCCTCTTTCTCCCCTGTTTCTTCTTTGGATTGTAATCACAATCTGAGTTTGAGTCATTATCCGTACCCACAAAGTAAAACGTTTGATTTTCTGGACTGAACTTTACTTTCTTCACCTTCTTTGTCTCAACCTCAGAATCAATTCCCCCTTCATTTTCTTCTAAATTTTTACAGACTGGCTCACTGAGTTTTTCATCTTCCTGTTTATTAGGGAAAAATAAAAGGAACAAAACATATTACCAAAATAAACCAAAACCCCATTGCAAAGTACATAACAAAAGAGAGAAATTGCAACACAGCCAACTGATCCCGTACACAACATTTGCCCTAATTGGTTTAGGGGTTTCACTTTCTGGAAATAATAACATGAAACCCACAATTTTCTTTTCATCAATTTTATCAGGAACCAAAAAGAAAACAAAATTGAAATTTAAAGAAAAAAAAGAAAAGAAGCAAGAACTATAAAGTTTATAAACACAGATAAAAAAACTTTCGTTCTTCGGTGATGCTATTACCTTGAGAAGCAAAGTAAGCTTATGGGCCATTTCAGTGTTCCTTAAATTTGCAGGAATTCCGTGCTGTTTACAGAGTGATTGAAGTTGCTTCCTCTTCGTCGCATAATAATCCATCTCTGTAATCAAAATTTTGAACAAAGAAAAGATCATAAATTATTGAAACCAACAAAACAACTAAAAATGCATTTTAAAAAAAAATTACAGTTCGAGAATCTTCCACTTACCTTTTTCGCGCCAACGCGAAGTTGGGTTGGCTATGGAGAGAACTCAGAAAATTCAGAACCTTCTGAGAGGGAGATTGTTGATTGTTGATTTACTTTCGATGAAATTAAATTCGATTTTTGCTTTCGATGTTCTAATTTTCTTTTCTTTCTCGAAAAATCGGTTTGATTTCCTTTTGCTTTTTTCTCTGTGCTTTTTTAAATTCAAACTGGATGAGTTTCCCGCTTTCCAAGACGGGTTTTATGTAACTTGCGATTTCAAAGGGAAATGGATTCTGTACTTGCGGAATGAGCGACGAGGGAGACGATTGTAGGGGTATAATGGTAATTTTAAGGATAGGCTTAAGTCGGTTCGTGGTACAGGTGTCGACCAAGGAAAGCGAGTGTGTAACTTTTGTTCGCTGAGACAAAAAGTGAGTTGAATCTTGAGGGAGAAGTCAAGTGAGAAATGCAAATTAATGATATTTTTAAATATTGACCAAAAATTTTTTTTTATATTTTTAAATTGTATTTATTGTTAGTTTTATTTATATTTTTCTCTCTTCCAAGTTCCCAAATCTCTTTTACCAAAAAAAAATCCCTACATATATATCATTCTTGGAAAGAAACATAAAATTTACAAGATAATTTATCAATTAAGGCATACACAGGTTACACCAGTTAGTAATGGTAGTGAGTCCGTCTCATTGCACTCAAGTTCGAATCCTTATATTAGATTAATTTATAATAATTTAAATTTAAAAAAAAATCAATTAAGCGGAATCTAAAGACTTTCTTAAATTAAGCGGAGACAACTACCGCTTAACCAAATACACAACAAGCCACTTAAATGTCCTCCCTTGATTTCCTTGTTTGATGTATATGCATTTTCCTCCTTGATACTTTTCCCTTGTAATTTTTTAATGCAACAATGAACCTTCTTGTTTAGATGTGCTTGTCCTCTCTCCCTCTATTCTCTTAGATCAGAAGATATATTCAAACCATTTTCTTCTTTTTCTGATTGTTGCTAAGTTTATGAATTTCTACTGTTTCTACAGTAAAGGTGTGTAAAATTGAGAAATCGTTTTACATGTGGTGGGAGATTCAAGTGTTTGGTAGGTAGTAAAGTTGCCGAGAAAATTAGTGAGAAAGTGATAAAAGCAAAATGAAAAGGGAAAAGTGATTTGTTTTAATTGTCTGAGTTATCTTTTTGGAACAAAATTCTTATCTATTTATTTATAATTGTTGCCATTCTTATTTAAATTGAATTACTAGTTGAAGTTCTCAATTGAAATTCTTGCATTAAAATATGGCTTAATTACTGTTTCACCCCTTGAATGGACACTCGGTCTTATTTTAACCCATGAAACTGAACTTTTCTTACTTAACCCCCCATAATCTCTAAAACTAGCATAATTAGGCAAACTCACAATTAAAGCATAATAAGACCAAATTAAACTGAGTTAGCTATATGGTTAGTTCTCAGATTCATCCAGCTAATTAATGCTGTCATATATTTGTGAGGAATTTGAATTAATATACAAATTTGTTGCTAGAATAAGAAATCTAATGCCCCTTTAATTGGAATGTAAAAAAAAGAAAAAGAAAAATAAAAAAGAGAGTAAATTAATCTAAAGAAATTGATTCAAATTGCTAATAATTATCATTAGTTGACAAAGTGGAATTCATCCGCAGCTTTACATCACGATGAACCAATCTACCCTTTCCTCCATGAAAAAATTCAACGTCTAACACATCTAAACTTCTATAATCAACGATGGTAAATCTTCCTCCAAAAGCTGATTGAATCATGGCAGATGAAATCACCATCTTCATTTCCAAGCTCAACCTCAAACGCCTTCTCCTCCTTTCCCTAATTGCCTTTTCATTTAGCTCTGGTACCAAATAGGGCTTCTCAGCACATGCTGAGTGGCTAATGTTCAGCTTCACCGTCCTCTGCTTCAGGCTTCCAATCTCCATCGGTTTTCTCAACCCCGAGGAGCATGAAAATCCGTAGTTTTTGTAATGAAGGAGGGTTTCGAGGTCCGACACGAGGATCCTGAGCTTGCTCTTGTGATAGTTTTGTATGGTGAGGGTGGCTTCCCATTTGGTGGTGTTCAATGGATGTGTGGATTTGGCGTGGAAATTTGATGTTGTCAAAGAATGCAAAATCACTTGAAGGGATTTTGATTTTGGACAGTAGGTCTCAGACATGTATAGGACACCCACAAACAAGTACCCAAGAAACCCTAGAAAAGCAAGCACTGAAAGTACAATTTTTGTGATGGTTACTTCGGGTACTTGATCAATATAATTGGCTTGTGAAGAAACCCTTTCTGCATGAGGGAAGGATAACGAATGAATATTTCCCTCATAGTACTGTGTACTCATTTCAGAGTTCGAATCTCGCTCTTCTCCGACCTATTATGTCTCCTCCTTAATTCGTCGCCGAGGGAAGAAAAAAAAGGGCCGGGAGGGGGGGAAATTAAGGAGGCCTACGCAAGCAGGCAATGGAAAGGAGAGAGTATATTCATATAAAGGTGGTTTCATTAGCTGTTTGCAGTTGGAAAGGTTTTGGGAGTTTGGAAAGTATTGTACCCAAAAACTAACTACTTGTGTATATTCTAAGATGTAATTGTCCATTGGTTGATCAGCAACTGAAGTTGTTTCTAATAAAACTAAAAACTAATTAATTGGATAAATGTGTAGTAAATCATCATTTACCCAAATCATGGTAAGTTTATAACTCACGGCTGGTACTTTGACTATGAATCTATGATCTAAAAAATTAATAATAAAAGTTTGTTCTTTGTTTTGTTATTTGACAATGTATTCGACTCTCGGATCTTGCTGGCTAACTGTTTATAATTGCTAATTCATATCATACTCATACCAATGCATGCACTAAACTAATTTTTGATGACATTTACATTAGGGTACTAATTTTCCCACTCCTTTTTAATTCACTTACACTCTATTTTTTTAAAATTGTTTGTTCTCACTCATCTTTTGTTCACTTACACTCCTTTTTATCTTATAGTAAAAAGTATTAAAAAGACAAAAGGGAGTGTAGATGAATAAAAAGAGAGTGGGAAAATCACCACCCTTACATTCTACAAAAAAATATGAAGATCGAACTTGATGCAAGCCTTCCCTTGGCTACAACTCAGGGCAGTCCTTGGGCTAGTTCCGCCCCTAATCTTGACAATATAGAGATATTTTAAACACCTTAGTTTTTCTTTAAGGCGAAAAATTGAAATTGATGTATAAAGGTGACATTTCTATAAAAATATCATTTAAAAATAAGGTGAGTAGAGAAATAAGATAACAGATGAAAATAACAGCACTCTTAATAGATAATTGGTTGATTTCATAAAATTTATTAATTGACCCTTCAAATTCATTTAATCTACTGCTGGGCCAAGCCCATATAATTAAAGAAACATTTTGGCCACAAAATAAATAAAGAAACCATGGCTGTGATTCGAGGATAAATACCCCAAAAGCACTGAAAAACCAGAGTCGTCACCTGTAGTTCGTTTCACTCCGCGCTTCGGGTCTTCCTCCATTGAAGCCATCCTCGCCCACCACTCCTCCGGTTCAACCCATCATCGCCATTTCCCCCATCTTCAGGCATAGCTCTCTCCTTGGTTTCATTCGATCAAGTATTTTTTTTTCTTTTTTCAAGGTTTTGATTATTTTTCCTCTCGTTAAGCCCTGATGCTCTCCCGCCTTTGATTTTCAAATCAAAGCTCTCTCTCTCTCTCTCTCTCTCTCTCTGTGTTATCTACGCGTTTTAGTTCGTCGTCAATTTAGGGTATTCTTCTCAGTTCAAATTTCGTTCTTTTCTTTAGCGGGCTAGCGTAATGTGGGTTTTCATTTTTGTATTTTTCGGATTTTATATGATTGATTCTATGGGTTTTTAGATTATTATGATGGTTTTACGATCTGGGTTGACTTTTTATTTATTTTTAATTTTTAATTTTTAAATTTTTATAGATGGGCATCATATATAATTTGTATGCAGGGTCCGTATTTTGAATGCGAAAGGTGTTGCTTTGTTCTGTTAGATATTTAAAAGGTGATCACCAATTAGGGTTTTGAGGGACCTATCAATTTTGATGGGGTTTGTTTGTCTTGAAAGTTTATAGAAGAAAAAATTGTTCTTACTTGCTGTTTCGTTTAGTTTTCTGTTGTTTGCCTTTAGTTTTCTGCTTCTTATTCTGAGCGTGTCTAATAATGTTTGAAAACAGGGTCTTCATTGCACATCCAATGTCTTTTGATCTCAACAACAAAAATTCATCAATTATTGGAAAATTTTACTTTATGAACCGAGGGAGGCTCTGGTGTTCGCGGAGGATCTTGTTCCGGCACTGGACTTGACCTAATTTTTTTTGGGAGTGGGCGTTGTTTATAATAATGCATTATTTTCCTCACATCTTGTGAGGAATTTTTACAGTGGGATTTAAGGCTATTGTTAGATATTTGAGACTTTACATTTGGATTTTGTGATGGGGAAACCACCGTTGCCTCCTGGTTTCCGGTTTTCTCCAACTGATGTAGAACTTGTACGGTATTATTTGAAGAGGAAGGTAATGGGGAAAAGGCTCCATTTTAACTTCATTGCAGAGGTCGACATTCACAAGTATGCTCCTTGGGATCTTCCAGGTATATGTCATTCTAATTTCTCTTATTTGTTTTCTTCACTGTCACTTACCTTGGTTTTCCTACTTTGTATCATGTAGTTTCTGACTGTATTGTGCTTTTTAATTCTTCAGAAAAATCTGGCTGGCAAAGTGGAGATCTAAAATGGTACTTCTTTTGTCCCACAGCAAGGAAGTATCCAACTGGAGTTAGAGTGCAACGTGGCACCGAGTGTGGTTACTGGAAGTCCACGGGAAAGGATAGATCTGTTCTTTACAATAGTGAAGTTTCCGGGTGGAAAAAAATATTGATCTTTCATAAAGGTCGATCCCCAAAAGGAGAAAGAACAGATTGGGTTATGCACGAGTATAGGCTTGAAGCTAAGGACCTGGCTGATAGTGGTGTGCCACATGTAAATGACACTCTTCCTCTCACTATTTTGTATGCTTCTTTGTTTTCAATAAATTAGTCTGAAACTCTGCAGTGATTTAGTAATATACTCTCCTTTTGTAAAAGGTTTGTTATTCTGTAATGTTTTACATGATTAGAATTTTTTCATGCTGCTGAATTGGACTGATAATGTTAGATTTCCTTACTTCATACAATTTGTTTTACTGCTTTTAATGGCTTGTGGGTTTTTGTTGAATAAGTTTTGTGGCTTTTTGGTGTTGCAGGACTCATATGTGATCTGTATGATTTTCCAAAAGATGGGCGGGGGCCCAAAAATGGTGCACAATATGGTGCACCCTTTAAAGAGGAAGACTGGACTGATGATGAGGCTAAAATTTGTTCAGAAGCAGTCCCACATGAAACATGTCTGAGCTAAACCTTGTAGTGCAGAGCAACTGTAATAGTTCTGTCACTACTAGCGGACATCCCCCGAAGGGTATGCACATAGGTCCTTCTGAATCGTGCATATCAGATGTTTTACCACCTTCTTGCAATGTTCTCCAATTGGTTTCCAGTAATCATGTTACAATAGAGAAGCTTCATGGTTCTGATGGTGATATCCTGTCAATGTTGAATTGCTTCACTGAAGGAAGCACTTCCTTAATGAAAGTAAATGACAAAAATGAGGTGTGTAATGAGCCCTTCTCTTTTTTCTACATGTAATATATATCATTCCTGATCTATAGCTAGTGGAAATGCAAATCATGGATCTAATTTATGCAATCAGGATAGGTTTTTGTTTTGACACTCTGCTCGTGCCATAGATTTCCAATTTCAGATGTGCTAATGTGGCACGATATAGTTGGTTATATTTTACTTTTGTCATTGATGTCATCCAGGTTGTTGAAATAGACAAATTAGCCTTGTTTTGTTTTTTGTTTTTTTCTGATGAGGGTCTTCTGTGCTCTACAAATTCCATGCATCTGTAGTTTGCGTTATTTCCTTCCTCTCTCTCTCTCTCTCTCTCTCTCTCTCTCCACCCTTTGGAGAGGTTTGGTGCTTCTCTTACTGTTTTTCTGTGTTTACTTTTCCTTGATGGAGGGCAAATTTTCCTATTCTTTGTTCATGGAGAAATTATATGTTATCAACTATAGTGCAAATGTTATTTCTTGAAGCTAGAGTTTTAATCTAGATGGCGTAACTAGAAAAGTTGACGGCTTTGAATTTCAATTTTTAAAATTTCATTACATACTGGAGCCTCTTGGATGTTCTTATATGCACCTATATCTGTTAAAATAAAAAAAATGATTCCATAGGTACATTAGTACAAATAAATTATCTTGCTAATGTTCTTTAAACTTCTAATGTATGCTAATGTAATACTTCTTCACGGTTTGCAGGAGCTTGGTAACGTCATTCATTCTGGAAATGCTAGTGCTACACCTAACGTCAATAGTGATGATATTTATGAAGATTTAGGAGACTTGGGGAAGATGGCTAGAGTGAGTGAAGATGGATATAATTTCTCCAATGTGCATAATTCAATCTGTGCTCCGGCTCAAATGCAGCTAGGTGACAATGAGCAATTCTTGGAGCTGGATGATCTATCATGGTAAACCGTTGAATTGCCATGATTTGACATATACTCAGCCTCCTACTTCGATGGGAGAGACGCCTTTTCCGGTTGACGATGAGTTGAATGTGTTTGATAACGTGCCTTGTGAAATTATTATTGCTCTCCAGTCTTTCAGATCAAATTTGTTAACGGGTTTGCTAACTTTCAGAAGTTCACCTTATCAGACACAACTTTGAGTTGCTTCTACACATTCATTTTTATTGTTGGGACGGAACAATACTGAAAATTGTATTTACCGTATTGTATTAACAATAATCAGGTTTACCTGGGATTACAGTGCACTTGTTTTACGTCTATAATCTAAAACTAGACTTGTGTACTTTCGTAGTGTCATTTTACTGTTCAAGGAACAGTGCTTATGAATAGTATCTGGTTGCATTGGGCTTTAGTATATATATAATTTGTTTTTCCTTATTGTTTGGTGACTATGATTGAATTGTATTAGATTGGATTGGATAGAATTGGTATTTCTTATTGGTCTCAGGTTCGAACCCTAAACCCCCATGACACCTTGATAGTGTGTGTATGAAATCATCCTCTAATTGTGGTTTAGGATATCGTTTGTATTAATATTAATAGTATTTCATTAATCAAAACCGTCTATTTTGTAGATATTTTTTTAAAGTTTCACTCAATTAAATTATTGAAATTTTAGTACTTTTTGAAACATCATGTCCATTGATTTTGTAGGACACCATTAGATGTCTAAATGGTTTTCGATTTTTCTAATTTTTTGTAAAGATGATCAATGAATGAGTCCAATGTCAAGGAATTTGAGCAATTGGATTATGTATCCCACCTTATTAGTAAAGCAATTATCTTTATAAAATGAAACACATAATGAAATTATCCTTTATCCTATTCACTTTTATTTTTAACACCAAACATGAAATTGAATTACGCTAATCCAATGATACTCCTTATCTTACCCACCAAACAAGGACATTGTTATTCTTTTTCATCTCTGGGGACGACGACTCAAATAGGACATCTTCTAATATTAGTCAAAAGTATACTACTAGATGAATAACTAAATTGATGATATATGGACAAAAAAAATGTTAAGTCCTTTTTGTTGTGTGATATATATATATATATATATTATATTATATTGCTATATTGCTATTGGATTATCGAATATCTACATTATGCTTGAAGACCGAATACCATTTGGAAGAGGGTCCAAGCCAGAAAAGCTTGAGGCCTAGCTGGCTTGTCTTTAACCCATCAACGACAGAGGACATCTCATATTTATCCATTCCCATGAGCAAAAGTGGAAAGATAAAACCCAAAATTTGTATACCTTTTTTACAAATTTATAAATAAACCCAATCCTAGACATGTATTTATAAATAAACCCAAGCACTATTTAAACATAGAAACACACCCAAAATCAACCCCAAAGTCAACTTTTTGGGTGTGTTTATAAATGGGTTTTGAGTGTGTGTAATGATGGGTTTTGGGTGTGTTTATAAAGTGTTTTGGGTGTTGGGTTTTTTTATAATTTCAACCTCCATTTTGGGTGTTTTAGTAAAACTCCCTACATTTTTTGGGGGGGGGTGGGGGGGGGTGTGAGGTTGGTTGATGAACTTTAATACATAGTAAACCAAAACTTAGCAAGTCTCAAGACATTCTAGACCCACTTTTAATAAAAACGAAATGAAATACTTTTAAATTAATTTCAGCAAATACCCCAATAACAAAAACCAAAAAAGCCTTGAAAATCCAGTTTTAAATCTCAAAGCTCAGAATATTTTAAAAGAAAAAACCCACAAAAAAAGAAGAAGAGAAAATTGATAAATCATATGTGAGAGATAGAGAGAGAGTCAGAAATCTCGTGTGGAAGTGCCGCTCATAGAAACCAAGAGATGCCTGGTACTGCGTTTGCACATTGAATTTCATCATCCCCTCTCCCCCTTCATACATACATATATATATATATATATATACACACACACATAACCCTAATTACAGAACCACACAACGCCATTGAAATTCAGACGAGCTTTGTTTGGATCGGATAGCAGAGGCTGAGGAGGCTTGCCTTTTATAAAGAACGCTGCTCTCATAAAGGTGCCCTAGCCTCGCCTTACGGAGTCGTTTTGATTTGAAACAGGCCCTAAGCTCTTGCTACGTCGTCGTTCTGAATTAGAGTGGGCCCCAACCTCTTTCTATGACCGGATAGGCCCGGCCCATATTTATGCTGGCCCAAACAAATAAGAAACTCCTTTTTATATTTTGGGTTTTCCTCATTAAATATGGAAACTACCTTTCTATAAATATTAAAAATTAAATAAAAAACCAGAAACATTCCCATTTGAATTGAGTTTCCTTTACCGCCTCCTCCTTCTTTCTCTATAAAACTCAATCACAACCCCGACTTTCACTCTCATATTAAGATCTCCCAAAAACCCAAGTCACAAGTACTTTCTTCAACTTGAAGATATGGTGGCCCCTCGAAGAAGAAGCTTAGAACTCATACCTAATGAGGGCACTCGGAAGATGACCTTTCGGAAGCGAAAGAAGAGTATATATAAAAAGGCTGACGAGCTTTCGAAGCTTTGTGGTATTGATGTTTGCTTGATCGTCTACGAAGCCGATCAAAAGAAGGGGAGGGCAGTTCAACCGGAGACGTGGCCGCGAGATCCAACTCAATTCAAACGCATTCTCAACAAGTACAAGGATTCTAAGGATACGTCCACGCCCGGATTGAAGAGAAACTTTGATATGTCAGATTTTTATGAGGACAAGAAAGATCACGTGGATGAGGATGACGAAAAGTTTCAGAATTTGGGGAAGAAGATTTTTGAGGGGGAATACCCGACGAAGTTTCAAAATTTAGGGAAGAAGATTTCTGAGGAGGAGTACCCGACATGGGACGATCGAATAGATGATTTTTCGCAGGACGAATTGACTGAGCTCATTGCTTCACTTGAATCCAAGATACAAGTTGCAACCAAGAAGATTGATTCTATGGAAAGATATATGGGGTTTGCTAAGAAACAAAATCAAAGTTTGGTCCGGGAAGAGATTAATCATGATGAGCAGCCCTATCAAGTCCCTGCTTTGATGTCTCCTCCATCACTTGTGCATTATCCGATGTTGCCAAGTGCATGGGTTTCAAGCTCAAAATCGGAGAAGAGCTAATGACAACTTGACAACCTCGGTGTATATCTAATCCTTTGTAATCGAATTTCTAGTAATGTTTAGTTTGATTTTGATGTACCTTTTGGCTAGGGATAATATATACCTTTTATTTATAACTTTTCTGTTCTGATTACATTTGGACCTTTGCGTTTCTATTTTTATTGAAGTCATTTTGTGAGATTTTCAATATGTGTGTGTGTTTCTTTTGGGATTCTTTCAATATGTCTGTTTCTGGGTTG